GGAGAATAAAGAAAGAAAGCCTCAGAGTCTAGTCTCAGTACTGCCTTCGCACCAGGCGATCGCTAGAACAGCCGCTGGCACAACTGAGCCGACTGATCGCCCGACAAGTTTTTGTGTTCAAAAACATCAGGCCTATGGAGAAAGCCAAAACTGTGGCTAATGACAACCAAAGGATTAAGTGATGAATAACATGTACTCATTGCCAAATCGCTCCATGGCAATTTCTGTCCACAAAACTTGCCGCACCCCCTGAGGGCCAAGCGAATTGCCCAGTGCCTCCGTCGGAGGCACTACGCGGTGCGATGTCGGCCACAGAAGGCTGCTGACGGCCAAAGCAGGTTTAAAGACACAGGAGTTCTTCCGAATTCTGGTCCAATCACAAATCACAAATTTGTACATAACATAAGATATCACATAATCATAACATAACAGAACATGTTGTACAAATCATAACCTTGAAGCACGGCCACCAAACACCGCTCAAAAGAAAGAACTGGTCCGTGACATCTGATGTGAACGGCTTTGCGCCGGGGTGGAGCAGCGCAACCCAGAACCCCGAGCAGCTTACCGGTTGGTGGTTGGCGCCCCGTCGAAGGCGCGCCGTTCACCCGTTCACCGGTCAGACGGTGAAGCGAAGCGGGCTCTGAAGGGTCTGAAGATCGGAGTCTCCGACGTCAGCGATCGTCTGGGCTGGTGCCTTGGGATGTCGGTGGCTCTAGTTTCTACCACGGATGCCAGGTCGCGCACGCGCATCCGTAGTCAAACCCGCACGGATCTCCACAGAAGAAATGCAATCTAGCCATCTTTGGGCTGGAGAGCAGTCGTGTTGCAAGACATTTCTTCTTATTGCAGAAACAAGTGGGGAGCACCTAGGCCTCTACACTTGAAGAGAAACTCATCTTTCCCGAGTGAGACGTCTATGGTGTATTGGTTGAGGCTTGTCAGCGTTAAAAACCTTGCTCCAGTTCTGTACACAAAGAAACCTCATACCAATACAATAATGGTTTCCAAATAGATAGAAACGGTTTCCAGTACATTCATAGTGGGGATCTACCTTTCTAAATCGTTTCTATCTATTTGGGGGTAAGAAAAAAGGCTGTCCCATGAATCTCCCGAACTGGATCACTGCCAAAAAAAACAAAAATCCCCAAGTCTCCACCTGCACCGGAGATCTAAGCTCTGAGCCCTGCCCATTGCTTGAAGGTCTCCCCTATTCCAATCCACACGTTTGGACCGACCCGGGCGGATCCAAAAATGCAGAGCCTGGTAGCCATAGGCCCCCATCGGAGGCGAGGCATAAGGGTTTCCTGGGCGTCCCAACACGACGCCCATGTTGTTTGGAAGTGTGGATGCCTCCCCAAGATTTCATTCTGGGAGTACAATCAGGGATCATGTCAGAAGGTGTTTGCACCGTTTTACCTGCAAGAGGCTCCGTGGCTTTGCTCTGACGATCACTGGAATCAGAAATTCACACAGGGGTGTGTGTGTGTGTGTGTGTGTGTTTTTATTTATTTAATCTATGAATGAGTGAAACCAAAACGGGTTTCGGTTTGGGTGTCTTGACTACCTGCGAGATCCTTGCGACTTTAGATCATTATCTCTAAAAGAGGTTGCCTCAGGATTGGCAGATTGGCAAAGAACGCCCAGTGGTAGCAATATTGACGTACTGCATTGCATTTCCTAAGAACCATTCATTGAGGGGGCATGCTGGCCTCCCAAAATGGTTGTTTTCAACACGATCCCAACCCACCCCGATCAAACATCCTTCACTCTCAGCTTGCTCGTTCCCACTTCGCAAGCGTTGCTTGGGGCTCCCAGCTCCAGCTGCCCATCTCAAGGCCTCTTTGGTCCTCGGCATCCGCTTCTGGAAACACCACAGGTGCAGACCGCCGGACCGCAGGACCCGGCAACAGACGGGAGAACACGAGGGGCTGTGTTGAGGAGGCAAGCGACCAAAATGTGAAGCATTTTAAACACAGGACAAAACATTCGTGTTCCTTTGCCTGGCGTGTTGTGAACCATTAATTTTGGAGTTTGGGCTCCTGCATGGATGACTCCAGATCCGAACATCGTCTGTTGGTCAAGGGGGACCAGCATCTGTTGATCCCGCGTGGATGGCCGAAAGTACCTGGTTTGGACACGGAAATTGAGCGCAATAGGATCTTCAGCTCATGCCCCCTATTCTGGACATCAGTTGTCAGCGCTTCCAAGCCGACTGCAAGGCGAAGGCCTTGCATCAAAAAGGGACAGGCCGAAAGTGGATGATGAGGTGACACGAATGAGTGATATTGGAGTCAATGACAACTAAGTGATATGTAACATCACCTGCAATCCAACTGGGGCACTCTTGCCCAGTGGCTACGCTTCTTTGAAAAATACTCTACTTCGAGCCCCCCACTATGACATGTCAAAAAATTGTCTTCATGCCATGGTGAGGAGCATGTTGCCATGGTTGTGAGTTTTGTGGTTCTCGACTTTGTTTGTGGGTCCTCGGGTTGTGTGCTGCGATTGTGGTTGCGTGTTGTGGTTGTGTGGTGTGGTTATGTGCTGTCCGTGTGTCTTTGTGCTTGTGTGTTGTGGTTATGTGTTGTGGTTGTGCTTGTGGTTGTGATTGTGTGTGTGCGTGTTTTTGTGGATGTGTTTGTGTTTGTGGATGTGCTTGTGGCTGTGTTTGTGGTTGTGGCTGTATGTTTGTAACTTTGTGCTTGTGGTTGTGCTTGTGGTTGTGTTTGTGGTTGTGTGTTTGTGGCCGTGCTTGTGTGTTTGTGGCTGTGCTTGTGGCTGTGTGCTGGTTGAGGTCCTGCGGGGAACACTACCAGCCAGAACTCGCGGTTGTTCGGACGACGCGGAGGACGAGGACGGGGAGGATCAGCAGGACGGCAGCTGACATCAAATCTAACAACCCTCACCTGACAGGTGGGGAGAACTTCGGAATTCATGAGCTCCTTGCAGTGAAAATCGAGACCGCCGGGTCATGTCCTCCAGTCCTCCGCTCTCCCGGGCGACCCCACCTTGACTGCTGTGTTGTGAACGGCCTTGGTGCCGGTTGGTTGGCCCAAAAGGTGACTTCGTGGTTCGGCAAGGCCAATCAAGCACCTCGGGGCGAAGAATTGCAAGGGGGATGTCCCTGCTTGCTGCTTGACCACCCAAATTGGCACCCAAACAAATGAACATGCGAAATGCACTTGAACAGAATCTCCGGGCAGAAATCGTGGAAATGAAAGCGTCATTTTGCCATCAAAGATCCCCCTCAATATCTTGTTAGAAAAAGAACACTCAAAATCTTCAAACAAAAAAAATATAAACACACCATCCGAGCAAGCACCATCCGAGCCTAAGTCGCCCTCCACCCACTGAGCAAGCCGCCCGCTGTCGGGCACCACCTTTGGGTTCACCGGAATTTGAGCCGAAAAGGGAAGCAAGTCGGCACCGAGATCTACTGGAAGGGGGACTTGTGTTTGGATTTGAAGGAAATTCCTGATTCAATTGAAGCCCAAATGGAAAGGGGGTGAAAAAAAAAAAAAACTCAAACGGGAGGCAAATTCTGTGGCCGAAAACTTCAAAAAGGTGCCGAAGAGGACAAAAACGGAACCCAGACGGGCCAACCGAGGGGGCGGCGTTTTGTAGGAACGAAGTGTTGTGGCACTTTCGAACGGAAAGTGCCACGGAGGACTGAATGGGCCCTTTTCGTCAATGGTCCTCTTACAACTGAGAATGCACCAAGTCTTTTGTGTCCTGGCTTCTTTCATTCAAATAGATCCTCCCTCAAGTGGTTCCTCTTGACCATTGATTTGCTAGGCTCGGCTTGATAGGTTGCTGGCCACAGGCGTCAACTGTTAAGTAAAAGCATTGTGTTCGTCAGACATTGCCACCCCAGAAACATATTGCGTAGAAGTGTACAGAAACAAGCTATCAAGTCACGTAGTAACCAACAAATCAAAGGACAAGAAAATAACTAACTCTATGGGTTTTGCTACAGTAGTCCAAAAGCAACGCTCTTCACCTTAGCACTTGGCTGATTTCCAAGAGAAAAAGTCATACTTGGATCACCATGGCCCATCAACCAGAACGAAGCAGGTCTCACCCACCTTGGCTCTGCAGGAAGAGAACTCATGCTGTTCCAAGACTCTAGGAACCCCACCGTGGGGTTCCACACACGTCTCATCTTGTTTTTGTTTCCTCCAAACGGAGTTCAGCAGCACTTGCGGCTAAGCTAGTTCAGGGTGGTCGTCCCGTGCTCGCGGGCGGTTAAGACTCACTTCACCGACTTCCACCCCAAACACTGACTGACCGAGTTCCACCCTAATCTCATTGAAGTGGATGACAGGACAAATCAAAGAAAATGTATATAGGATATAGGTGTCAGTGTCTAAATGCTGTTCCATTGAAACTGTAGATTTCTATGCATATCATTGCATATCCTGTGGTTTCCATGTACTTGTCTTTCCTGTAATCCATGTCAAGGATCATCGACTCGTTGTTGGAGGCCAAGCATTTTCTGGCTCCGCCGACAAGCACTAGCACCTGTGGGACTGCCTGCAATGGCTTCAACACCACCAAGATGTTGATAGAATCGGAACCTTGAGCCAAAACAACATACAATGATGAAAGCAAAATGGTATGATTCAGGGGCTTACCTTTTCGTTTACAGATCCATCCATATTGGTACCAAGCGATCAGTACATCAACATCTCTTCGATTCACTTCGGATCCCGCCATCCGCCGTCATCCCGCCCGGCGCTTGGCCCTCACGATCCTGCCGGACCGCCCCAAATGGAGGGCGAAGGAACCGCGTGGGGCCGTAGCGATGGTTGGAGAAAGTTCAGCCGAGTTCGCGATGTTGCTCTTTCTGGTTGAGATGGACGATACTCCCTTGGCAAAAGGAAAAAGGGCAATGGGCAATACAGTAGAAAGAAATGGACATTGTGTTCAGATTCTTGAAAATGGAGCCGCATTCATTGGCCATGGCCACACGGGATTCAGCGGACACCCAAAGTGATGTTCCAAGTCAAGGTCTCCTGCGTTGTTTGAGACTTTTTGACTCTTTGAACCACGCCACACCAATATATAGATGTTTGTCCGATAGTCCACTCTGTCAGCCACTCCGCGCCCGCACTTTTTCCTCTGCTTTGCGCCGGCAGCAGCGCATGGTGCGGCCTCCAGGGTGAAATGAGAACGTCAGGCAGTGAGCTGTTCGCTGTGGCTAAACAACTCTGCTGATTCTTAGTCTGTGCAACAGGTGTGTCATATTCGTATAAATATATATATATATACCCCCAATCAGCATCCATCAACCAGACAATCAGCATCCATCAACCAGACAAACCATACAAATACCACCTTGACATGCTTTAGTACGTGACACACTAAAAAAACTCCCATCTGACCCCGCACACCCTGCCTCCCATGTACCCGCACACTCACCTCGTGAAGGTGCCAGCGGCCAATGCCTTGATGGTGCGTGGCGTGGTCCGGCAGCAGCCGCCGATGCAGCTGGCACCCGAGCGGTACCACTCTTGGGCCATGTCCACAAACCTCAAAATGAGAAACAGGATGGGCAACTGTAGAGAAAACCCTGGCTATAAGGAAAAATGGAGACTTACAAGGACATTTGAACGTCATTGTATACAAATCCCGGATGTAAATAACTCCTCATGTGCTTCCAGAAGCGACAAAATGTGGATATGTCTGATGGTGCTTCTTCTGGACAGACTCTGGAGTAGGATCAGTTTCTTTGAATCGCAAATTCATGTGTGGGAAGAGCCCAAAAGACTCTTTGACTGTGCAGCATGGTCAAACCAGCATGGAGAAGGGTAACCCGCTCCCCATGCCAACACACTCCTAGCACCCCTCGCGTGTAAAGAAGATTCTGCCTCATATTCCCAACCACCTCCAGGGCTTCTTCTACTTTCCACGCTTGCTCCACAAAAAAAAAGTGGTAAAGCGGTCCTCAAAACAAATCGTGTCATGATGTCCAATCCATTTCCAACAGGGCTTCTTTGCGAAACTTACTAATAGACATATGTGTATGTATTCATATGTATTGGGTATACTAATGTATACTGTATCATACTATATTATGTTCAATGTTTGTTGGGGTTCTCTAAAGAGTCTCTTCCAGGTCCGCGTCTTCCACGGTCTTCACTCAACTCTGGTCAAGTCTCTGGCTGTCAGCTGTGGCAGTGCCAGTCTCCCAGCTGTGGCTGGTGCCATTCCAAACCTCGCCACTGTTTGGATAAACCACCACACCTCAGACGGAAAGACTGGCAGCTCGTGACAAAGACTGGCACTCGCGGTGCTGTGAAAGCCATAAACCAGATCTGCACCCCCACCCCACACCAAAAATGAAGCACGGCCTATTCTTTTTGCCCTGCCTCCGACTTCCAGGAGAGATGAGATAAAGGATGCGTCTGGACAAGAAACCAATACATTTCACCGCGCAAAATAAAAGAACATAATTTCTCCGCCAAAGCACACAAGTATTTCTCAATGACACAGTGCGCTAAGTGTGACGATTCCCAGCTTTGCCTTCTTGACAATCTTTCTATGAAAACAAATGGGAGTTGTTCTTATCCGCCTTATCATATCCAATAGATCCGAAGTCCAAACCTCTGTCATGCATGTCTTACAGAGGGGAAAACAACTCCAAAGTCAGGCTCCATGATTCGGAGGATTGGGAGCCAATTTGGATCTACAAAAGTATGACTGTAATGTTGGAGGAACATAAATGGGTCGGGACTTTAATTAGTGCATTCTATGTTTTAACAATGTTGATTCTTTAAATCACCCTCCAACATAAGATCTCCTGCAAAACACCCGTGTTTCCCAAGGTGGCCACAAAATGCCACCTTAAAGTCTTAGAGGTCCGCAGTCCGCATCATTTTCCAGATAACACCTTTCTTTCACCCACAGTTCGACCCGACCGCTGCCACCCAGGCACTTTTCTCGGGTGGCAGCTGAGCTCGGCAGATCTCGACCAAGCTCTTCACGAACTTGGGATGCGTGCAGTTCACGCCAGCTCCTGGCATTACTCGCAACAAGAAGCTACTAGGGACAAAGGGCATCGCTACTAGGAGCAAGGACGCTACTAGTAGCAAGGCGCCTTACTACTAGTAACAAGAAGCTACGTCAGCTCCTAGACCCCAACGTTTTGGGGACGAACCTGTAAGAACGCGCGGTGCGTTCTTAAGGGGAACAGAGGATCGGTTGAGGATGGAAAAAGCACCCGTGATGGTGCGTTTGTGGGAAAAAGAGGGGTACTGCGCAGTATTGAAGCATCTTAGAATCTTTTAGACGATTTTTTGACATCTAAGAGACGGTTGCGGTAGCAGAATCACGGTCCAAGGACGGGTCCTTCTTCTAGGGTGCTTTTCCCCTTTCATGGCCGTCTTAGGAGGACTTCATCCAGTCGGACGGTGTCCGCCTGGACGGGTCTCACCTGGTCACGTCGGCTCCGCTCCGCCCCAAGCTCCGCGCCAAGCGGGGGCTCCTACGATCCAAGGGTTCTCCGCCACGGCCCGGACGCAGTCGGCGATCGGCTCGCCGGAGGACACTTGAGTGTGCGACTTGCAGGAGAAGGTGATCCAGGCAGGATGCTTCAGTTCCTGAGCTGGTCAGGCGGAAAATGGCGCCGAGGGAAGGTGGAAGGGCGGTGGTGGTGTGTCAGTTCTTTTGGGTGGTAACAAGTGAGCACAAAAATAACCTGAAAGGTCCTGCAAGTATTAGGGGGGAATGGGTCATGTTAGTCCAGACCTGGTAGATATTAGATATGATATGTTCAACCTCTGTCACCCGTCTTTGGCTTCATCGGAAACGCTGACCCAAGTTGAGAGCTCAGCCAACCCGAAAAAGGTTGTTCTGGGAAGAGTCGTGAGATTGTGAATTGTTGGGCTTCAGACTTTTGTGCGGTTTTTCAACCGAAATCAAACGGTTGGAACCTCGCCCTACGAATGGCCAGAACAGGAAAATTCAGTTTGGGACGACTGGACGCCCAAGTTGATGGGAAAGGAGGCGTTTGAGGAAACTCCTCAAAACGAAGAGTTTAGTGTCCAGAGGTACTACAGAAAGTCCCACAACAAGGGTACCGCGCCTATGGTGACTCCAAAATAGATATATTATATAGGTAAATGAAAAGTATCGGATATCTATCCAACACCTCCCCAACTGGCCAAGGTACAGCAACCAGCTGAGATAAAGCTTCGGCCTCCATCAAGCAAGGCCTGCAGTAGACATTTTCGCATGGAATTGGAGATTCATGACAAAGTACTCAATGTCGCTGGGCATACTGGGGGAACCCTCTGGGTTGAAGCCTCCTCCATGAGCCAGCACAACTGACCACACTGTCACGTGGGGTCCTGTACCTCATCAACTAAAACAAAGGTTCTATTTCTTTGACCTTCATCCCCACTCACCCACCCACCCAAAACTACTCCAACGCGCCCGTTCTGGGGCGCCCGAGCACCGTTTCGCAGGCGAAGAGGTCGCAGCGCGCCTCGCGCAGCGCCAAGGCCCGGGGGCGGTGCCACTCCAACAGCTTGGCACGGTCCATGCCTGGAGGATGCATCCCAAGCATGAGGTTCTGAGGATTCAGGTCTTGGTAAATCCACCAAGCAAGCTCTGAAGCGGATCTCAGAAACTCTCCAGCTAACACTCCCCTCCCCAGTGTTGAAGGGCTAAGGCCCACTCTTTGAATTTGAGGTTTTTGTGGAGTCAAAGTCATTCGTTGAATGGAAAGGAAGGGATGCTGGGTGAAAAGGCCTAAAGGATGATAGAGGTTTCCTGAGATGCAAAATCCATCCTTTGATCATCCCTCACTTTTGCCTTGGAGCTCTGCGTCTTCCTGCGCAACACATGCGTATATACCCCTTCTTTAAACAGCACCGCTGGGCTGCCCGCGCCTGGGTACTCGCCGGTGTACTCCGCGCCATTGTGAAGCCTAATGTTTGTTGCCATGAAAAATGTGCCGCGCATCTGGATGAAAGACCTACACCCGGGAAGATTAACATGGAACCACCTGGACCTTTGGAAGACTATTTTCCTCTACAACCCAGTGGTTGTTAGGTTCCATGGTCATTTTTCGGGTATAGGAACCCAAAAGAAACCGTTGTCCTTAGGTCCTTGATACCCGATTGCTTTGCACAGCGGACCCGGTGGATCCCGAACCCCCCGAAGCTGGCTCCTCCTGTACCGGCCACGGTGCGAGGCGCCATAGGCGCCCAAGCTGCCGGCCACCAGGCCTCCCAGCGGCGCCACTTCCCTGGCGCCCAGTGAAACGCGTCCAAGAGACCCGGTGCGGTACCGGCGCTGGTGGAGGACATCCGTCGGCTGCAGAAAAGGTCGGTGTTCTTTTTTCTGCGATATCGTCGGTGTCAGAGTCCTCACTACCGGAATTGGCTTGTAGCAGAGGCATATCAAAGACAGGAGAAAAAAGAACTGTTGTTGGTTGCAACGGTGCCCGTCTGAGACTCTTCAGAAGGCAGGTTCACTGCCAAGGGCCTGTGAGGAGGGCAAGTAATTCTGGGTCAACGATCTCTTGCCTGGTTGGTTTTTAGTCGGTGGGTTCCTTTTTTCCCAAGAAAAGGTTGAAAATCTCCAAAACCATCACCTAGTTGCCCATGTTAAAAGTTCTTTTCTGCTTTGAGGTCGTCTCTGCCGCCGCGTCGTTTTTTCCACCCGCCTCGCCAGCTGCACCGATCGCTTCATGGCCGCGAGGGCCTCTTTCAGTTTCCCAGGGGGGGTGGAGCTGAAAAAAGGTAGGAGCCCCGAACGTAGCGTCCTTGCTCCATTCGTAGCGATGCCGTTCCTTGGGAACTCCCCACCCCCATCTGGTGGAGTTTGTCCAAAAGTGTGGAGAACCACAGGTTTTGATGTTGGGAAAAATGACACGATAGCATCGACCCCGGGAGAGCGGTTCACGTCCTTTTTGGCAGCATCTGCAGCTATCTGGGGGGGGGGGAAAAAAGAATGACATGTACCAGAGCTTCACTGTGAAACTTCAATATGTGTTCCGTGGGTCCATGATGCTGATTTTGCTGTTGACCCACTGCAATCAAGACGGATCTCTTTGTCTGTTAACATCCTTCGGGTCAGACCTGTGGTGCCGGTGGCGCTGGGAACCGATCAACAGCCTCAAGTAGACGACCTCTCTCAACTCAACCAAGAATGGAGCAGAGCGGCAAGTGAGGGTATGTATGTTGCAAGCACCATGAGAGGAGTCTGGCTCAAGCCAAAAAGGATCCCCCGATTTCGCAGCATCCAACCCTCAAAAGTGATCTCTGAAGTCATTGAGCAACCTTTCACATGTGGCATCACAGGACTCACCTTGCGGGATCTCCAGTCTCGGAAATAACACCTGAAGGTTCACCGGCTCGTGGCTCATAGACCAAATACAACCCGATCGGCGAACAAGCAATATAAGGTTCACCACATTCACCAAGTCCATCCATCTCCATCCACCGCCATCCAGGCCTCAGGCTCCTCCACGCCCAGCTCTCGGAAGCCATCGAGGTGAGCCTCAAAATCGGTCGGGCGGATCGGTGGAGCATCGGTACCAGGCAGGGCCCCGATGCTCCCACCTGTTGCACCCATCAAGAAACCCGAGAACCCAACAAGGGGGGGGTTGGAAGCTACTAGGAACAAGTGCCTTACTAGTAGTAACAAGAAGCTATTAGAAACAATAAGCTACTAGGAACAAGTGCATCGCTACTAGTAACAAGTGCCTTACT